ATATGTGGCCTTTTTCACTTAACACAGTGATTTCAAGATTCATCCACGTTGTAGCATGTGCCAGTACTACATTCCTTTTTGTGACTGAATAATAGTCCATTGCATGGATACAACACATTTTGTTTATCCATTCATGCATCGGCAGTCATTTGGTTATTTTCCACCTTTTGAATAATGTGAATATTCATGTATAATCTTTTGTTTGAAATTTTTGTGTCATCCTTGTGCAGGGGCCATGTTTTCATTTCTTTTGACCATATACTTAGGATCCTGTCAAATTGCTGAGATATGGTAATTCTATTTTAATCTTTTTTTTTGAGTTGGAGTCTCACTCGGTCACCCAGACTGGAGTGCAGTGGCCGCTCCCAGCCACCGCAGCCTCGACCTGCTGGGCTCCGGCGATCCTTCCGCCTCAGCCTTTGGAGTAGCCGGAATTACAGGCATGCACTACCACGCCCGGCTGATTTTTTAATTTTTATTGTAGAGATGAGGTCTCGCTGCCCAGGCGGGTCTCGAACCTGTGGGCTCAGGCAATCCACTCACCTCAGCCTCCCAAAGGCACGGGATTACAGGCTGAGCCACCCAGCCCGGCTTTTTTTTTTTAAGAGATGAGGTCTTCCATGCTGCCTAGGTTGAACTCACACTCCTGGCCTCAAGCGATCCTCCCACCTCAGCCTTCCAAGTAGCTGGGACTACAGGCACATACCATTGTGACTAGCCTATGTTTAACTTTTGGAGAATACACCAAATTGCTTTCCACACCTGCTGTACCATTTTACATTCTCACAGCAATGTACAAGGGTTCCAGTTTCTCCACATTCTTGCCAACATTCATTTTTCTTTCTTTTTTTTTTTTTTGAGTTGGAGTCTCACTCTGTCGCCCAGACTGGAGTGCAGTGGCCACTCCCGGTCACCGCAGCCTTGACCTGCTGGGCTCCGGCGATACTTCTGCCTCAGCCTTCTGAGTAGCCGGAATTACAGGCGCGCGCTACCACGCCTGGCTAATTTTTTGATTTTATTGTAGAGATGAGATCTCACCTGCCCAGGCAGGCCTCGAACCCACGGGCTCAGGCAATTCACTCACCTCGGCCTCCCAAAGGCGCGGCATTATAGGCTGTGCCACCGAACCTGGCTTCATTTATTCATTAAAAAAATTATAATTAACCTAGTAGATGTAAAGTAACATCCCATTGTGGGTTTGATTTGCATTTCCCAAACGACTAATCTACATAACTTTTTAATCCACCTGTCTTTCTTCAATTCACTGACTCCATTTTCCACTTGTTATATAGCAATAATCTACATCATAGGGTAATTGTTAGGATTAAATGAGTATATATACAAATATATATGTGTGTACGTGTGCATATGCACATATTGCTTAGAACAGTGCCTGGCATATAGTAAATACTGTATAGGTGTTAGAAAGAAAGAATAAAAGGAAGGACAGAAGAATGACCAGAAGGAAAAAAGATGGAAGGAAGGACCTCTTATCTATACTCCCTTCCTCCTTGTCCTTGTGTCATAGCCCAAAAATCACTCTCCTGACTTAGAAGACCCAAAGTGTACTCCTTTCTGTTTCCTGAAGAACGATGTTCTCATGTGCCTTCTACGCTTTGCCCATTCTGTTCTCTACATCTGGTACAATTCTCCTCCCTCCCCCAGCTCCTTGCCTAGTTAGCTCTTATTTAACCTTAAAGTCTCAGCTTAATTCATGACCTCCTCATCACAGAGGTCTTCCTGATTTCCCAGATCAGGCACCATGAGGTAAATAAAATAAGACCTTATCCCTTAGACCTGGGCAAAAGAGCCGCCAGCCCTGGGCTTTATGCTTTAGAAGGTATCATATAGTATAACCATGAAGGAACTAAATCTGTTAAAAACACAGCGATGTCTCTGTCACTTGGAATTCAGCACTCAGTGCTGGCACAGAGCAAGCAGTAACTCTGAACACACATTCCTGAGACTAATACAGCTCAGGCCCCAGGGAAACATTTCTCTTGCTTTATGGCTGATTTACTTAAATTGATAAATAAAAATTGTATATAGCTATTGTGTACAACATGATGTTTTAAAATATGTATACATTAAAAATATGGAGCACTTCATAACTTTTGGTGTCCTCTTTGCACGGAGGCCATGCTGATCTCTGTATTGTTCCAATTTTGGTATATGGGCTGTCGAAGTAAACACACCATATGTCTTCAGGGAAAAAAGTAACTGTGTCTGAATGCCCTGAAGGTTTGTAGGTTGCATCACTGTGAACCTTGGAGGCAGCCGTGGCTTTGGAGTGCAGGGAGGAATGGAGCTGTCAAAGTGCTTAGCTAAGAAAAAAGTATATTAACTTGTCAAATTCTTCCTCTTAGCATGACTGCAGTAGATTCTTGAATGATACATTATTTACCAGTAGTGCCTATTTTTCTACTTCTCTTTTAATTCTGATTTCTGGTTCTAGAGGTACTCATGAATTAGTGTAGTGTTTGCAACATTGCATGTGGTGAAACATTTTGTAGAACTAAACAATTTATATCACTTTTAAATTGTAATATTTGTAGGTCTAGATGTAATACATGAAACATGATACTGATTCTTTTTATTGACAGATGGCTATTGACCACAAGAATTGCAAATAGTTTCATTTTATAAAAATATTTAATTAGACTTAAATTTTTAAAAAATGGAATGAAATGTTCAGCTCTTGAGTAAGAACTTTGTTTCCTATTATCATCCCTGGAGGAAAAGAATACTGGGTCCAGGATGGCCATGTTTTTAGCAACCCAGGTTCAAAATTCAAGGATTCCAATTAAACTTTACCTCTCTCTTTCCCCATTTTCTTTGCTTATGAATATTTTGTTTTCCTTCCGGCCTTAGGTAGTGAGCAGCCAGAGTGAAGTCTTGATGAGAGTATAGGACATACCTGGGATTATTTGCTGGAGCTCTTTCAAGGGAGATTTGGGGAGTGGCCAGATGAGTGGATAGGGGTGGAGGAAAGTCCCAGATTCATTACCCCATCTGGCTCAGAGCTTGAGGCTCATGTTGTCTTGGCCAGGCCAGCACTTTGAGTTGCTTTTTCCAGAAGCCCTCAGGGCCCATGGCTGGAATGTCTGTGTTCTCAGAGCTAGCATCTGTAGCAGCTCCATCTCAAGGGCCTTCCTTCCCCTACTGAGGGTTCAAAAGACTATCTTTTCTAAAACTGGAAGAGGGTAGGGAGACTGGATGGGGACTCCATGGATCATTAAAGACCTGGTTGTTCTCAGACTCAGAGAAGAAAAGAGCACAGCCCAGAAGCTGGGGGTAGGGGTGGTAAATGCCGGCAGACAGAGGAGAGGTGTGAATAGAGAGAGGTCAGCCAGAGGAACACAAAGAGCCAGAGCTAAGAACTAAATTCAACAGCAGAATAGCCTTTGTCCTTGACATCTCCCTGGATCAGAATGAATGAGTCACACCACAGGTTCTTGGGGCAGACAGTGTGGTGCTATTGAAGACACACTAGACTTGGAGATTTTTGACCTGCATTTTAATTCTGAGGCTGCCCCTTAAGAACTCTGTCATTTTGGACAAGTGACTTCTCTGAATCTCAGTTTCAGTACTTTTAACATAGGCTTTGGATTCAGATAGACTCTGCCTCTAACACCAGCACGACCTTGGATAAGTTGCTTAACCTCAGAGTCTCAGTTGCCTCATCTATACAACGGGCAATAACAGAGTTGTTGTGAGGAATAAATAAGATAATTGCAGAAAGTAGATTCCATTGGTAACTTTGGGTCATGGAATAACAGTGAGTTTGGGGCCAGGCTGCATGGGTTTAAGCTGACTGCCTGTGACTAGATGTGTAACCTCTCTGAGAACAAATTCCTCCCCTGTGAGAAGGGGTAACAATACCTTCTTCACAGGGTTCTTGTGGGGCTCTGCTGAGATAAGGTAGATGAAAGCATTTTGCACAGCTCTGTACAAATGTGAAGGATTATTTTTGTTCTTTGCCTTGCCCTCTAACAAAGGCTGAATAAGTACTGAATTGGCCAAAAGAGGGAGAGTGAGGGAAGGAATGTGAATCTTGGGGGGAGTAGCAAAAAAGCTTGAATAATCCTGTGTTTCTAACACTTTCCATTAAACTGGAGCTCCAAGGAACAGTTCCCATCCATGGGAGGGAGGTGCGAAATTGGGGGTGTGAGGGAATCCGGTGTTTGTGAGGAGAAAGAAAAGGAGCCCACGGCTGTCAAACGCCAGGAGGGGATGGAAGGTCCTGGCCTGCTGAGGAAAAAAAGGAGTCTCTCAAGTCCCTCTGTCTCCCTCCATGACCCAGACTTCCTTGTGATCCACAAAGCACAGCTCCTAGCTTTGAGCCAAGAAATGCTGCCTTCCAATGCCCCCCACCTGTCAGCTACTGAGCAGATTCAAATATGCTCAGGGCTGGAGCCCAGAGAAAAAGGACAGGAGCTCTGCTGTCCCCTAATGCAGGATACCTTGTCCTCCCTCATACCCATCCAGCCAGAGCAGAACCCTCAAGCCAGTCTCCCCCATCCTCCTCATGCCCTCCACTTCCCCTTGATCAGTTTGAACCAGGACATGATGCCAGCGCCACCGCCCCGCTGGTCCCGGGCTCCACCGAGAGGCCGGGTCATGAATGCCTTTCCCTTGGGAGCTCAGCCCATCGGATGTGCCAGGGAAATGTTTCCACAGATTAGTGCCTCCTGGGGTGAGACAGCAGCAGCAGGTGGCAGGAACAGGGCAGGAGAGGGAACAAAGCCCAGGGAGCCCTTGGGAGGAGCCTAAGGAGGCTTTCTTTTCCAGTCTCTGGCCTCCAGAACCAGGAGTCTGGGGGTTCCTTCAAGGCCCTCGCCTCAGTTTCACCCCTCAGTGACCAGTTGGTGATGCAGAGATCACTTTATTTGACCAATTGTGGTGGCAATTATGGCAGTATCATGTTTTGGGGAAGTCTAGTTTCAGATGGAGAATAAACTGGGGGTTGGGGGAAGATGCAGGGGCAGGAGAGGAGAGATGGAGAGACAGCTCCCGAGTCCAGGAAGAGAGGGGAGTGAAAGGGGAGAGGATGTTGTAGCAAGAAGAAATATGTAAGCCCTGGAAAAGGCATTCCAGCAAGAGTGCCCTAAATTAAACATTCCCATCAGGTAAATCTGCATTTTTCAAATCTGCATTGAAGTCAGGTCTGGAGGGTGGAGCGGTGACATAACCAGCATAATACAGACAAGGAACAAGAAGGCAGTAACTGCCACTCGGTCAAGGTGATGCAGATGTCGTGAGGAAGGAAGAAGCCAGATTTCTGCTGTCTTTGCTTTACCTTGGTCTTGTTCTCGGGTAGGTTTAGGAGCGAGCAAGGCTGGTGGGCAATTTATTACAATGTGGTTTTGACCCAAAATTTCATCAACGTTGGATTTCTCCCTTGGGTTAATCCTGGCCTGAGGTCAGGTGCCCCTAACCCACCTGACCCCTTGACCTCATAGTTCATGAAGGTGAGAAACTGGTTCCTGGTCTGTGTCAGCATTCTGGATTAACTCAAAGATGAATTTCACCTGGGTCTGGAAGGCTTGAACTGAGATTTTCTCGTTGATTCCATGGATGCTGGGGCAAAGAGAGATGCATTTGAGGGTGGAGGGAAGGACCAAGTGCTATATCATACTTGTTACTACAAAGCAATGTCCTCATCCCATTCCCCAACCCTGAAACCACTGGCCTTTGACCCTCTAGGGGTAGGAGGTAGGCAAGGTGGGAGAGGCCATTTGTGAGGTTTCATACGACATGTTGGTCAATCTCCGAAGGACTCATGCTCATGACAAAGAACAGTGGGGGAGATAACGAATAAACTCTTGTGGAGTCCAAAATCATCTCCTGGCCTGAAAGCCATTCAATAATTTGTCCTCCTGGAGAACTATCTTTCTAATTCTCTTTCTCTTAGGACAGATTGCCTAACTAGACTCATTTAGGCCAGTCCCTCAGCCCTCAACATACTATGAGTAAGAGAGGGTAGCTGCCCAGGGTACCTGTCCAGTGTTCTGCTTCACCTAGGAAACTTACTATCAGATCTCATTCCCACCAACATGCCTCCCCACAACAAGACAAAGCAAAAACAACAACCAAACTACACACGTAATCTCAAAGAGAAAAGAAAATAAAGAGTAGCTACCTGCTCCTTGTTTAAAAAACAAAAGCCTGAAAGCTGTTCTTAAGCTCATATTCAAATATCTTCATTCTGTTTACAACTGACTTAATGAGAAAATGTAGAAATGAGGTCTAGATAAGTGGCAGAGAGGTAAATGAAAATCATCCTCCCACACCCAGGATCAATAAATTTGTTGAAGAACCTACAAAAAAGTAATTCACACACAGCAGTTCAGATTGGTAGTCACGTCTTGGATCTACATAATGTTTTCTTTTGAGAAGTCAAAGCACACGTCCTCTTTTGCCCTCGTGTGTTTGCATCTCAGAGAATGCCCACTTTGTAAATGGAGAAAATGAGGTCCAGCGGGTAAGTACTCTCCCAAGGAGAGGAAAGGCTAGGATCAGCATCCAAGAGTACTATTTCTACCAGGTTCTCATGAACCACCCACAAATTCTGGGAAGCAACAAGACTCTGGCAATGAGGGTAGTTGAAGAATTAGGTTCTACAATGTCTCCATTTCAGTTTTCCAAACCTTGGCTTTCACCCCATTCTGTGGACTTTCAGTAACACGAGGTGGAAAGGGGACATATTAGATGGATTGCCTCTCTCCCATCTGCTGTTCTGCTTACCTTTTGAAATCCACAGGTAGCAGGATGACAGGGTTGAACCTGTAGATGTCAGTGGTGAGGTTTGTAAAGTGTCGGCTGTCTGTATTGGCAATACAAATACCTAGAAAGGGATCAAAAGGAGAGGGGCCTTACATGAGCCACTACGTCAAGAAAGTGGCAAGAGGCTGGCTGTCTGGAAAATTAGGACCACTGGATCACTATAGAGCAATACCTGAGCCCTCTGGAGAGCCCATGATGATGGCTTTTTGTCCTCCAGGCTACTCCTTCTCAAAACCTTACAAAAAAACACCATTGTAGCCAGGAGCGTGGAATCTCCCTCCAAGGGCGTTGGCAAGATATCACTTGAATGGTTCAAAGTCAAGTGTCTCCTCTCCATGATGACCAGGGAGGCCAATACCTTCACTTAACACCCATAGCCATGGTCATTTGCTATTTAAGAAATCAGAGTTTGGATACCACTTTTTTATCACTTGACCTTTATTCTGTATCACCGTAGGTCAGAAACAAATACCCTCTAGGGGAACTTTATTGCTATAAAATGCAATCCTCTTGGATTGGAACGTAATTTCCTGTTACGTTCTCATCCTCTGAGAGAGGAGTCTGTCTTCTTAGAGCCCAACTTTAGGTCTGGAAAGTCCCAGGATCCTCTTTCCAGTTTTCCACTCTCTTGAAGGTGGTAGCAAGTCACCTAGCTGGGGTTGGGACTTGTCCCCATAGGTGTGTTCTTCGAGAAAATACACCTGGAACATCAATTCAAGTGTGTGGGATGATTTGAGATGGTACTTTGTATTTTGTTCTATTTCCCTTTCCTAATTTCAAATGGGTAAACAGGCCCTTCACAATTCCTTGCTTTGCAGATTTCTACTGGTTGATTTCTGCCTATCTTTTTTCTGTAAAAGCCAAAACCTGAGATTATGGCAGATATCTCAGAAGGGAGAGTAGAGTAAGGAGCCTCTGAAGGCTGAGAAGGGAAAACCTGGGACTGTGAGGGCCAGGGTTCCTGGATATTTGGAGTAATCTATGATTAAACCTAGATAAAAGGAAACTGAACATAACATTTACTATTAAAGCATTTCCCCCTCACATCGACCACAGATTCTCAAACCTTGATCAGTCATCATTTGTGTCAGAATCTCCCAGGAATATTTGGGTGTGACATCCGATAGTAAAGCTGGATTCTAGGGTTCCATCCAGATTTGGTTTATACAAAACTTCGGAAGTGGGTCCAGGTAATCTGTTCTTTTTTTTTTTTTTTTTTGAGTCAGAGTCTCACTCTGTCGCTCAGGCTGGATGGAGTTCAGTGGCACAATTATTGCAGCCTCGACCTCCTGGGTTCAGTTGATCCTTCCGCCTTAGCCCTCCAAGTAAGTAGCTGGGACTACAGGCACACACCACTGTGCCTGGTTAACTTTCTAACTTATTATAGAGATGAGGTCTTGCCATGTTGCTCTGGTTGGTCTCGAACTCCTGGGCTCAGGCAATCTTCCTGCCTTGCCCTCCCAAAGTGCTGGGATTACAGGCATGAGCCACTATGCTGGCCTTAATCTGCATTTTAATAAATTCCCTGGGCAGTTCTCTTCTACTCTTATATTGGAGAACCACTGTCTACACAGTGTGAATTTGGATGGTATGCTAGAAGACTGGGGAAGGGTGCAGAGGGATACTGCCAGGATTGGTCTGGGCCAGGAGAGGTGAATGAGGTTAATGCAAATGGTATGAGCTGGGAGACTTTTCTGGACTGAGGAGTCTGAGACCCCTGCTAAGCTGTTATCCTAGAATGGATCAGAACCAGACTCTGGGAAGATCCTGGGCCCTTCTGTGGCTCCTCCAGAGAAGGGGGGAGTCTAAGCCAATCCTGTCCTCTATACCAGAGCGGTTGGCCTAGCTTAAGCAGGGATCCACACTTGACTGACCTAATTTATTGTTTCTGCTCCTTTCCTGTTTGCTTTCTCACTTCCACCCTAAAGGGAAAATACAGTTCCAGTCCCACCAAGGGGGGAAACAGCCAGCTGTTTCCAGGCTGAACAGCTGGGGTGGGGGTGGGGAAGTGGGCATAGGATAGGAAACAGTTCTAGCCCCCACCTCCCTCCAGCCATAGATGATGAAGTCATTCATTACCTGGGACGACAGTATTGACTTCCGGGAAGATGGACTGTATGGTCTGGCGGAGCAGCTGATAGCCCAAGGCCTGGTCATCAAAAGAGCTAACGGGCAGGGGGTTAAATGCATCTAACACGTGGAACTGGACTCGGTCGTCAGCCACAATGTTCTTGGTGAGTTCCAGGACCTCCCAGGTGGAAACAAAGGGGGTTGAATTTCTTATTTATCTGTCATCCAAGAACCATATGAATTTAAATATCCTGATTTCTCTCCAGCAAGGTAGAGCCCTGGGGTTTACAGAGAGGACATTTTTTTTTTAAAGCACTGGAACCTCAATTTCAGCTGGTTGGCCATAGGTGAGGTAAGAGCTGGGTTTTCCTGGAAAGCAATCTGAAGCATGATGGATTTAGGTTAAATGTTTTGGGAGATTAGCAAACTGTGGTCAGCCATCCTGTGTCTGAAGTCCCTGGGGCCACGGATTGGAAAATTATGTGTCTTTCTTCTCGTACAATGGGAATCTCAACTATCTTGAAGCAGGGAGACAGATGTGATGACTAGCTTCAACCTGAGAGAGTGACAGACAAGTGATGAAAGGGTCACACACTTTTCTTTCGCCCTTCTGGGCATCCCTGCTTCCTGTTTGTAACCAGCTGCACTGGAGCCAGGAAGATGAGCTCAACACAGACAAAAAGTTAGGAGTTGAGATACTGGTATTCAAGTTTTCTCTCTTTGCCTCCTTTCCTCAGGAAGGAACCTGAGGAAGCTCCTAGAAAATATTCAGTCTGAAATGACTCGAGTGAATTCAGCAAAATTCCTGGTTCCAGTCAGGATATGGCCCAGACCCTGAGGATTAGGTCACATAGAGCCATGTGGGATTGGACCCAGAGGCTAACTTAGGGTGTCCCCTGCACCAAACCTACCCAGCCACCCAAGGAAAGTTCCAACATAGTTTCAACCTATTTGATCAGTAGTTGCTTAAAAACTACCTCTGCCCTAGAAAGGGGGGTTGTCCAGTAGCTGGGAGTCACCTGAGTGGGGGGCATTATCACAAGAGTACCCCTTTTAGGCCAGTGTCTCCTTGAAGCATGCTAGGAGTTGTGTCTGGAGAAGAAGTGAGGGTTCCCACTGCTGACTTAGAAACCACAATTTCAGTCAAAACAAATTTTCTGCTGTTGGATGAGTGAGAGGGGTCATCAGAGCTTAGTCTTACTTCTCAGAGCATATTTTCACTCTGGCACCTACGGCCCAATAATGCTAATACAAGAATTAATACACAGTTGTTTGTTTTTGAGTTGGAGTCTCACTCTGTCGCCCAGGCTGAAGTGCGGTGGCACACTCATGGCCACCCTAGTGTCAACCTGCTGAGTTCTGGCGATCCTTCCGCCTCAGCCTTCCAAGTAGCCGGAACTACAGGTGAGTGCTACCACGCCCGGCTAATGTTTTTATTTATTGTAGAGATGAGGTTTTGCCAAGTTGCCCGGGCTAGTCTCGAACCCATAGGCTCAGGCAATCCACTCACCTCGGCCTCCCAAATTGCTGGGATTATAGGCTAAGTCACAGAGCCTGGCCAATACACAGTCTTGATATATTCTCAACCCATTGAAAGGTTCCTGAAGTCAGCCCCTATGAGGTGGGTTGGTACTGTGCCTGCTGTCCCCTGTCCCTAATTACTTAGAGGGTCCTGTCCCAAGAAATTGAAGAAGTGATACAGAATGGATCTCTTCAGTAAGAGACGACAAGATCCCAGGTTTCCCACGAGCTGCTAGGTCAGGCCCTGACTCAAGGGCAGGAACTGTGTCTATCTCATTTCTGTATTTCTAGCACCAAGCTGCATAAATGTTGGATACATAAAATTTAAGAGATGTGAACCAATAAAAATAATAAAGGGAGTTGTCTCATTAAATAACTTGCCAAGGGTCATACAGTTAGCATTGCTGGGCTGGGTATCTGTCTGCCTTCACAAGAATGATGCTATACTGCATCCTACATGCATTCAGGTTGAGGTGGTGTGGAGTAGAACCAGAAGGAAAGTGTTCATGTGAGATGGATTCCTTAGTGATATAAATTTTTAGCCCTAGAGTGAAGGAAGGATATGAAGCTGAGGGAGAAGAGGCAAGGCACAGTCTGAGCAAGAAGGGCATGCACAAAAATTGAGTAATGACAAACTTGGTGCCTCGAATACTTATAGTTGTGACCCTAGGCAAGCTCCTCAACCTCTCTGCATGTATCTCTGCTTGCTTATCTGTTAACACATGGATTTGTTAACATGTGTTAACACTAGCATCTACTCATAAGTTGGCAGTGACTGTTCATGGAGTTAATCTATATAATGTGCTTAGGCCAGTGCCTGGCACACAGTAAACAATCAATAAATGTTGGCTGTTAATTGCCTGTCTAGGACAGAGGGACCACCTCGGCAATAATCAGAAGCACAAGGATGGGTCTAGGAAGAAGGATTTGTTAAATGTGAGAGAGACCTCAAAAGTTACTGTAGAATACACTGACTTCTCATTTTTCTGACCTCCTATAGCCTTTGTAGCATATTTCCACAACATTATGCTGTTTTCTGGCTTTTTTTTGAGTTGGAGTCTCACTCTGTTGCCCAGACTGGAGCGCAGTGGCATGCTTCCAGTGACCGCAGCCTCGACCTGCTGGGCTCCGGCGATCCTTTCGCCTCAGCCTTCCAAGTAGCTGGAACTACAGGCGTGGCTAGTTTTTGATTTACTGAAGAGACGAGGTCTTGCCAAGTTGCCTGGGTGGGTCTCGAACCCACGAGCTCAGGCAATTCACTCGCCTTGGTTTCCCAAAGTGCTGGGATTACAGGCTGAGTCACTGAGCTGGCCTTGTTTTCTATTTTATGTAGAGAGATATTTTCCTCTCAAGTGAATGGTACAGTTGTTGAAGGCAAGGACAATGCTTACTAAAATATTGCTAACTCTTTGGAGTTAGCAAGTCCAGCTTCCATCCTGCTATAAGGCTGCTCACTAGAAAACTCATGACAGGTTGTCATCCAATCTACTGGAATACTCCAGTGGCAGGAAGCTCTCACCATTGTATACTATACATTTGAGTCAGGGTCTCAGGCAGGAGTGCAGTGGGACAATCATGGCCCACCATAGCCTTGACCTTCTGGGCTCAAGCATTCTTCCTTTATCCTCCTCCTGTCAGGACCTGGCTAATATTTAAAATTTCTTTGTGGGGACAAGGTCTCTCTCTGATGCCCAGGCTGGTCTCGAACTCCTAGGCTCAAGCAATTTCCCTGCCTCCACCTCCCATTTTTGAGCAATTTTATAAATGTCTTCCTTATAATGAACTTAAACATGGTGTCCTGTAACATCTAACCTCTCTCCTTTGTTCTGATATTGTATATACTCCAATGATATAGCACAGTACTAGACACATAATAGACACTCAGCAGAGTCTCACCTCTGTGAAAATTCGAGGACCCCTATACTGTTCCCTGCTTTGGGTTCTTGCTGCCCAGATGCTGTTGCCAGGTCTTTGCTCCTCCTCAGAGAGGGCTTCACTGACCACTGCATTTAAAGTAGCTCACTGCTCCACCCTCATGCTACAGTCACTCTGTGAACATAGCCTCCCATTATTTTCTTTGTGGTACTTACCACTTAAAAAATCACTTTGTTCATTTATTTGATTACTTGCTTTCTGCTGTCTCTTCCCACTAGTACACAAGCATGGTTAGAATGGGAATCTTGTCTGTCCTATTCACTGTAATCCCAAGTACATAGAAGAATGTCTAGTCTACAGTAGCCACTCACCTGACACTTTTCTACAATACTCTGATTGAGCCCTTTTAGTGATGAGGAGCTCATTACTGTCCAAGATGGCATATTTCAAAACTCTCTCTTAAGTGGAGGCTCCCTAAAACATCTCCCATTGGCCTTATTTCTACTCCTTGAGGCCCATTCAGAACACGCTTTCCTTTCCACATGGTAGCCTGTTAAATTTCTGAAGACTCTTGTTCCTCACAGATAGGTGCTGGAGACCTATCTAGGAACATGGGAGAGGCCAGTGGAAGGTGGAGGAAGAAAACTCTGGGGGCTGTCCGTGTTTCTGCTGGATACAGCCTGAGGCTCTGTGCACACAGTCTTCAAGCCAGCAGGGAGTGTCCCTGACACATGGAAAGATGGCTCAAGGAAAAGGAGTGATAGGAAAAACGGGCCCTGAGAGCTTTCAGGATGATGGAGGCTTTCCATTCCTCATTGTGGCAGGTGGGCAGGATGGGCCTAGTGGTTCCAGGGGTTTCATCAGATAGACCTGGAAGGAAGGCCACTGTGGTGGGGGATTAGGGAGGAGGAAAGAGTGCCAGGACCTGCAGAGATGAAAGTCCCAGCTGGGTGGAAAACGGCCTTTGGAAAGGGCATGGAGTTGGAATGAGGCTGGGAAAAACTGGTGGAAAGAAGCTCAGTGGGGGGAATTTGGTGATTTCCTGGCCACATGAGACCCCTGGGAGAGGACAAAGGTTGGCACCTGATGAAAGCAGAAGAGCCCAGCCTGTCTCCCCCCGGTGCTGGGTGGCTCAGGGTAGCATGTTTCCTCCTCTGTGATGAGAAGTGTGCCTCCCTACCTTCATGAGGACAAATGAACTCCTCCATGGAGAAGAGCTTAAGAGAAGGGACCACAGACGTCTAAGTGTGGCTGACCTTCGATGATCTGTGCCAGAGACCTAACAAGGCCTAACCCTGTTATATTCTGGAATGTACTATTCACCTGATGGCTCTTTTTTTTTTTTTTAAGGATCAGGTTTACCTTTTGAACTCTTTTTGGCTCAACTTGATGTTTAAGTAAGCTAGCATTTCCTATAGATGTCAAACATCCTGTGGAACTTCTACTCACTCTGGCTTTCAGCTTAAATGTCACTGCCTCAGGGAAGCCTTGCCAGACTGTCACTGCCTCAGGGAAGCCTTGCCTCATTCTCCAACAGGGCCTCGTTCCTTGTTATATTTTCTAATAGCACCAGGTTTCTTTTCATCATAGCTCTCATCACGATTTGTGAGTATACATTCATTTTTATACATTTTTAGTTGATGTGTATAGCACACCATTGCAGGGCTCTGGTCTCAACTCTTTTCTTTCCTAACTTTACACATTCTTCCCATGGCCTTTTATTGACTCCAGTGGTTCCAGTTATATTAATAATACTCTAGCCTGTAGTTCTAGTTCATGTCTCTCTCTAGACCTGAGGTATTTATAATTGCCTACTAATATATTATAAGCTTCTCAAACTTCTAAACCATTATATTTTTCCTTAAACTTGCCCTTCTTCCTGAATTCCCAATCTTGGTCAAAGGCATCATTGCCTGGCCAACTACCCAGATCAAAAACCCTGGAGCTGGCTGAGCTGGTGGGGCATGGTGCCTTATGCCTGTAATCTCAGCACTTTGGAGGGCGAGACAGGAGGGCCGCTTGAGCCTGAGAGATGGAGACCAGCCTGAGCAATATAGCAAAACCTCACTTCTACAAAAAATAGAAAAACTAGCCAGGCACATTGGTGCACACCTGTCGTTCCAGCTACTCAGGAGACTGAAGTGGAAGGATCGCCTGAGCCCAGGAGATGGAGGCTGCAGTAAGCTGTGACGGTGCCACTGCACTCCAGCTTGGGCAATAGAGTGAGACTCTGACTCAAAACAAAACAAAACAAAAACAAAACAAAAAAATCCTTGAAGTCATCCTACCTGTCTCTCAACCTACACCCATAAACACACCACATCCTGCAGAACCCATCTCTCTCACACCTCTGCTAGGTGCCCTCTTCTCCACCCCATGACCGTCGCCTCAGTTCAGGCCTTCATATGCTCTGCGTGAAGTGTCACAATAGCTTCCTGGCTCTTTCTTACTCCAACATATCCTTGCATTGCCACCAGCATTATCTCTCTAAAAGCAAATCTGAGGATGTCAGACCTGTTTGAAGACCTCTGAAAGTTCTCTCATTACAGAACAGAACAAAGTCCCCAGCCTGGCATAAAGGCCTTTTCATCTCATACGACTTCTCCCCAATTTATCCTACTTCTAGCAGAGTCCTGTTTGTCCTCTAAGGCCCAGCTCAAATTTTTAGTGACCAGAAAATAATTTTTGACTCTCAGAGGTAGCATCAGTTTTCTTTTCAGTGGTCCTATGGTTATCCGTTCATCCCTAATAGTTATAACTGTAGTCTAGTATTGTGGCTAAAAGCTCAGACTCTGGAACTAGACAGCTAGATTTGTAATCTTGGGTATGCTATGCTATTGCTCTGTTACTCTGCCTCAGTGTTCACAAGTTAAAAGCAGATAATGCAGTTTCTACTTCTTAGGGTGGTTGTAAGGATTATGTGTGTGTGCACACGCTTTAGAATAGTGCCAGGCACATAGCAAGTCCACTATATGTATGTTTGCTACTATGGGTGTTTCTATCATTTATTTGTCTTAATCTCCCACTCCCAGACTACAAGTTCCCTTAAACCAGAGATCTCTCATCCTAGCCAAGTACCTGGTACATAGGATGTCTTTGAAAAATCTTGGTTGAGCAAATGAGAAATTGTGTTAGCCCTAGGACTGTAGCTAAAACCAAATCCTGAGGGCTACGCCTCTCTGATGCTGAATTAATTGTCTGGAACATAAGGTACATACCTCTTGGACTGTCTGTGAAGGGTGAATCCGGAAGTTGACTGTGGCCTGGGCCACTGGGGGGATGACATTCACCTAGAGAGAGAGAACCACAAACCCTGCTGAGTTAACCTCAAGTCTTCCACACCTGATCCTGTCCAGGAAACGCCAATTACCACCAGTAGGGGCAGAGCAAGTTGATTTGATTAAAGGACCCCAGGGTTTAATGTTTTTTAGTCTGCCACCAGCATTATCTTCTCTGGGCCCCTGATATTTAGAGCTGGAGGGATATCTCTGTTTTAGACCACATCATTGTACTTCTTGGTCCTGGAGGGGATAACAGCATTGCTCCGAGCAAGACTGGTTTCTTTGAGACTGCCCAGACACCTATGTTTGGTCCTATGCTGTGCCATTAGGAGTCTTCCCTGTGCCCTTTCTTTCCCAGGGCATCCAGGACATTTCTTTAGCCATTAACCTCAGTGTTTACTCAGGAAAGGGCACCCAGAGCCTTTGTAGGCCCCATCACAGCAGATTTGATTCCTGAGGCGGATGATGATGGTGGTGTTAGTTTCCCATGACCAGTTGTAAAATCCAACTTTGTGTCTTGCCTGACCAGGAAGCACCTAGGACTAGGAGAGCTAGGCTGTGGAGAAATCATTCCTCAGAGGCCGGGAGAGAACAGACTCCCCAAGTGCCTGTCTTTCTTTGAACTGGTGTGGTGCAAAAAAGCATGAGGTCAGGGACAGGAGAACTGGGCTGTTGCAAATTAGCTGTGTGATTTTAACTAATTGCAACTTCTTTGTGCCTTCATTTTCCTTTTTCTTATTTTTTCAGCTTTTAAGTATTTATTTATTTATTTTTATTTTAAAGATGTGGGGTGCAACTCCATTTTCTTTACCGGCAATTGGGGTAACAATACTCATAGGGCTCTTAGAAGCATCAAATGGAGTAATAAATGTCAACATATTTTAGGGAGCTAAAAACACCTTTCAAACATAAGGACACGGTGCCATTATTTTGGTGAACACTATGGGCAGCTGGTGAAGAATGCTTGGGTCCAGCTGACATCCTGGACACTCCAATCAGTTTTGCTAGGGATTCATTCTGAGGCACCATTCACGAATACCCAGTCTGGGCTCCAGATGACCAGAGCTCCACAAGGTCACACTGTACTCTAGGTGAATGGTATCCCCTGAAGTTGTGCTGGTGGTACTGGCAGTTATGTGAATGGTCTAACTTCCTTTAGGATTTCAGAAGGGCCTATGCCTTTGTGTGACTAGGCTTGGTCCAACTGACACACAGAAAAGGAAGGAGGAGCCAGCAGATAAAGCCAAAGGAGGGAGGAGTGAAGGGCGGTGAGGAAAAGGTAGATGGGGAGGAACTAGGCTACGTTACCTTGACTCCTGCATTGAACATGGTGAGTGCTGTGGTGGTCCTGACTAGTGCATTGGTTATGTAATTTCTCTCCATTAACCTAAAGCAAAGGATGAAGGTCAAATGTTAGGAAGAACTGTCTAAGGGAGTAAAAGAGAGGGGAGAAAAATCACCCACTTTTTCTGAATCTTAGAGATCTTTAAGACTAAGAAAGACATTGTAGAGATGTCTTAAATATCCATGCTTAGAGATGCAGTGTCTGGTAGCTGAGGAATGATTGGCCAGGCCCAGTTAAGCCAAGGAGTGGTGACCAGGGGTGGGTAGGTTTGGGGCGAGGGATGTAGAAGAAAGAAAGATAAAATTTTACCTGCTTACAAGGGGCCGAAATAGCCACAGGTTGTTCAAGATTATGTTGGTGGGGAAGGGAAACTGAAAGAAAGAACAATTCAGCAGGATTCCAGAGGCGTTGGTACAGCAGGGTCCGTGTTCCTGAGGCCTGGGTCTCTCTCTACTTTAGACCTGCCCTGGGGACCCTTAGTAGTCAGGAGTATTGCTGAGCTCAGTTAGCTCAACCTCTGCTAGAGAGTCAGGGACAGGGAGGCAATTACTACCTGTCTGGGCTCATCTGACTGGCTAGAACAATTGCTCAACAGCCTCGAGGATGAGTAGGAACCAGCTCCCAAAGGGTGTATTTGATCTTAGGGTCTCAGATAAATACCAGCAGCCCTAGAGGATAAGTAAGATTCCTCTGCCTTGGTTCCACCACCAGCTGGGAATAGGTGAGAATGGGCAGAGCACTGGTTAGCACCAGGGCCCTTTTCTTACTCTGAAGTTTACTTCTCTGCCATCCCTTTGCTCCTAGCAGACCAGGAGTATGTAATACTCCTCCCACACCTCATCTGCCAGTTGCTGCATTGTCATCTTCAATGGTCCGCTTCCAAACATGTTAGGCATTGGTGTCTGCTCCAGTCTGGAAGAGAAATAAGAGTTCTCAGAACTTGGCCAAGCCCAGCCAAAGATCAGCAGCCTGAAGAGGTGAAGGAGGGAGACAGGAAGAGGCTTCAACACACTTGGTTGGGAGATCTCCGATTCACCTCCCATCACCTCCACCAATTCAACATTCTGAAGAGCTCAATCACCAGCAGGACCAGCTCTACTCCATCAGCAGGAGCCTTCCCTGTCTACCAAGTCCACGTTAGGGTCCCTACTCCCCCATCCCCCAGCATCCTGTGTGTCCATTCTTACGGCACCACCCACACTGCAGCAGAATTGTCAGTATCTTCTGCTAATTGAATTACTTGAGGACAGGGACTGTCTCATTACTGTATGCCTACCTCCCATCTGGCACAAAGCTTTGACCATGGTGGCTATTTAGTTCAATATTTATTGAATGAGAAGAATAGAGTTTTTCTTATCTTGCTAAGAAAACCCAGCCACGGGTGAGCTCTGCTGTCACAGACCCTGCTGAACTCACCCACTGCCAGGACCCCAGGACCTCTTTTTTATCTTTGTCCTCTTCCCAGGGCAAGTGGAGAACTTAGTCAGCAATAACAGTCACTGCCAACTTTTCCTTCCTTCCTTCTTTCTTTTTTCTTTTTCTTTTTTAAGAGACAGAGTCTCGCTCTTTTGCCCAGGCTGGACTGCAGTAGTGTGATGATAGCTTACTGCAGCCTCCAACTCCTGGGCTCAAGCAATCCTCCCACCTTAGCCTCCCTAGTGACTGGGACTACAGGCCACCAAGTCTGACTAATTATTTATTTATTTATTGTAGAGGCAGGGTATTTCTATGTTGTCCAGGCTGGTCTCAAACTCCTGGGTCCAAGTGATCCCCATGCCTTGGCCTCTCAAAGTGCTGGGATTATAGGTGTGAGCCATCATGCCCAGCCCAATCTGTGATTTCTAACTGCTTTTCTGTAATTTGAACTGCTCCAGCTACCTGAACTGGATTTTGCCTGTGGCTCTTGCTTGCTCTTCGGATCTACTGATAGGTCCTCTTGTGGCCTCAGTCCTTGCCTAGGTACTGATGGCTCTGTCTCTCCTGTGGCGTGCACTGTGGCTTCCCTGTCTAGCTTCAGGGCAGGAAGCTTAGCCCTCTCAGATTCAAAGTGGGAAAGTATCAGGTCTTCCACCCTGAGTCTGGCATGAGACTGGAGCCAGGAGTGACTCACCGACTGACGGCGGCTGCAAGGATGCCAATGCTTGTCTCCTTTGGGGGAGTTGAAGAGTGACCTGGAGTCATGTTTACTTGTAACATGAGGTCAATTGCACCCTTCTCTGACACTGAAATCCTGTAGAAGAGAATCAGAGACAGCCCTCTGGACTTCTTCCCACCCTGAATTATCCCATAGGCCCATCTGTGCACTGGGCTGGTGGGTTGGGAGGTCAGCTTCATGCTGCTTTAAAAAATCACACAAGAGGAAGAAATGAAGGGGAAGCCTAGGACAGGTGGGAGATCTGAGTGATTAAGGAAGGAGGAGTAAACAAAGAGTTGTCTGTCTCAGTATGGCTTACAGATACCAAACTGGCGTCATCTCATATGGGGTGAGAAGAAGCCGGTCTAAGGTGGGGATGGGGTGTTTTACTCACATGGCAAAGGGCTTCTTGAGGCTGGGGATAAAACCATCCAAGACAAAGCTACCCTCGTCCACAACGAAGGCTAGCTGAATGCCTCTTGCCTGCAGCAGGGCTGAGATCTTCTGAGCCCCATTTGTCCCGGACACCTGCAGACATTGGACCCAGAGACACAGTCTTTCTCAGCCAGGGGCAAACCTCTAGAGATAGCTAATGGGGACCCATTTAGCTTAGCCAGAGGCTCCAGGACCTTCCCACCTATTCTTCTCCTGGGGGACAGGGCCCTGGACAATCAGGGAATCCTGGAATGTCAGAGCAGGAAGGACCCAACCTTCCTTATTTCATAAATAAACTGGGGCCCAGAGAGTGAAACGACTTTCCCAGGGTCTAAGTAAATGGCATCACTGGAAAGAAAACTGTCATTGATCTCCTGTTCAGTTCTCTTTCCATCACATCAATGTTTCTTGGGGTATAGTTGACATACTCCCTGCCTGCCTCAGATACTGTGAGGGAGTTTGTTAAAAAATCAAATCTATGGCACAGGGCCCAGACATCTAAATTTTGGTCAAGATCTTTAGACAGTTCTGGCACACAGACACACAGAGAAGTGGACAAAGCACCACATCATAGCATGGAGACCCTGCAGCTTGGGAGCAACCTGGACTAGGGTAAAGTGCTCACTCCCCTCTCTCCAGCAGGGGTCCCAGAAGTAGGCAGAGGGTAGGAGGTTCTACCTCCTCATCATGGCCAAGAACGATGAAGAACGACCTTCGGGGAACGTATTTCCTGATGAGTAGGAGCTCCAAGGCCTGCAGGAGTGCCTGGGGTTCAGAAGCAAGTGGAAGGAGAGAATATTATTATTTAAGGAGTACCAATGTACCAGAGACATTCGGCTGCGTGCATCAGGGATGGTGGGACGAGGATCTGATTCTTTTTAAAAAGAACACATTCAAAATGGTGCCTGGGACCAAATGTGGAGAAGCAGAACTTTTAGCACCTGGAGAAAAGCATAAGCCTATCAATGTCAAAAACAGAAAAGGTCCCTGGGGAGTCTCTATTTGAATCCCTATTTACAGTTGAGAAATCAAGGTCTGGGATAGGGAAGTGACAAATGGATCGCTGGGACCCAGGTGTCCTGGATCCAATTTCTTTCTACCATCACCTCATACGTCCCAGGGGTCAGTCAAACACCCACATCATGAATTGATCATTAGGGCCCCAGGCAGAGGGAATATAGCATCTCAGACCATCACAGAGTTCTTGTTGTCCAGAGTGCCTCGACCATAGATGAAGCCATCTCGCTCTAGCCCGGAGAATGGGGGCACTTCCCAGCCTTCCTCATGGGCAGGCACCACGTCAAAGTGAGCCATCAGCATGTAGGGTTGCAGGCTGGGGTCTAAGCCTCGGACAGTGAACAGGTGACTGTACTCTCCCACGACTTCATGCTGGATAAAGCTGGTGCTGAACACCATAGGAAAGACTAGAGGCAAAGGGATCAAGAGCAAGGGGAGAAAAGCCAGGTTAAATAGTTTCCGTAGGTTTGCCTACCATTTTGTGCTCCTTTTCTTTTTCTTTTCTTTCTTTTCTTCTTCCTTCCTTCCTTCCTTCCTTCTCT